AGCGTTTAAAAACTATTAATTTCAAGCATTCAAATTCGATAAATATTGCGATTTTAATGATAAATATCTTCGAAAAATAGAATATTTTACTTTTAAAAAAGGTATATTTATTATTTATGAATTCGAATAAGTTATTTATATACATCCCCTCCATTAACCATATTGTTAAACTGGTAATTTTTAACTTAGTCAATCAATAACATATTTTATTAGATAATATCTTTAATTAAATTAAGAATGCGGGGATGATAAAAATTTCTGTAATTTTTCGACAAAGCTAAACAATAAGATTTGTGAATTGATTTCTTTTTTTTTCCTCCCCCGGCCAATTCTGAGAAGCAAAGTACGAAAATTATTATTTAACGTTTCGTAATAAATTTGATAATGTAAATATCAACTTGTACACGGCGCTAACTTTAAACAATCACAGTGTAGGCAGAGTAGGTCATCACTTTATCTCTTAAGAAAGGCGAACTTTTCAATTGAACAGTAACTCAATCCTTAAGGAAAGAAATAAGTCGAACCGAACAGTTCATAAAGTTTTTCGACTGCGCCGAGCCGTTGATTAGATTATCTTTCGAAACGGGGGAGCTAGGACAGAAGAACTGTACGAAACGAAAAAACTCCACTAAGGGAAGAATTGTACAAAAGACTGAAGTTTCCCCTTCTGTTGACCCCCTACCAGTCCCTAAATCCGATCCTAGCCTATTCCCCCCTTTTACATACCCCTCTTAGCAGTTCGTCGCCAGGCTAAATCACATTAGCCTATTGTTACCACAACTAGAAGCCACCTGCTCACCCTGGCTAGAGTAAACATTTCTCTGATTAGCCCGAACTGTTTAACACATTGTGCGGATTTGTTTCGCACTCGGAACTTCAACCCTCCACTGGTCTACACCCACCCTACGTCTTTTATTGGTTCGTTGTAATGGGCTGTATCCGATTTTCTGCCCTTGGAGCATTAGATGGGACTTTTACATGACAAAAGCTCGTCCTAATTGTGTATGTATTATACTATACCCTGAGGGACATTGAGTGTTTTTCGAGAAAAAAAAATAAAATAAAATAAAAAAAAAGAAGAAGAATGTTTTATTACAAGTTGAATTTTAGAGTGTGACTCAATAGATGCGAGACGTTGTCACAGCTTTATGGATCTTCACCCTTACGATTTGTTAGTAATTTAACTTTATTCTCTAACTTAAATAACTTATTTTGCCAGGGATTCTTTTTCCGTGTCCATTCGGGATTCTCTTGTTTAAATAATTCAAAATGGCGATAACTCTTTAATTAACTATGCATTTATAAATGATAATATCTTACAGACGATGATTAACAATTCGATTAAAATAACTCGCATAATACAGTTAAATTTCCAAACCTATTATTCATTTTAAAACTGATCATTAGGAAATTGGTTTAATTTCGCCTGATTACAATCAAAACCGTTCACCAAAAGCATCCCAATTAACAAAACTATATAAATGATCAAGAGATCATTTAATTTCGATAGAAAATTTTCTTTTAAAAAAACAGTTAATTAATAGATACACGAGCCTTTTCCTTTTTTACATAGGAAAAGTGCTGTGGCTTAACTAAGATCTTGCTCTGGGGATGATCTGGGAGGATGGCGTAAAAAGTACAATAGGAATGAAGAAAAATTAAAGCTTCGGGGGGTTCTAACACCAGCATAACCCCCCGTAAGTACGCCACTGGAAAAATGTTTTAAAAAAAAGAAAAAAAAAAACACCTTTATTTAACGAATTAATAAGAATTGTTTCTTCTCCGTTGTTTAGTACAAGATTGCGTGCTTAAAATTTAAGAAAGATGAACCCTTAAACTCTTTGACTTTATATTAGCTTATAAGACGATATCAAACAGAAACCTCTCTATTAATTAATAATAAAAACACGATCCGTTGTTTAAACAGAAGAATTTAAGCACGAGAGGTCATAGGTTACACCTTGGCTATAAGCTCATCGTTAAAATAATTACGTGCTAGTTTTTACAGGCCGAGATAATTGCCGCAGTGAACATGATTTAACGACAACAGTATCAGCGTCCACAGGGGGTACCACTCACTTCCGTTAATGGCCCCGCATCGTTTGGCAACCATGAAGGAAATGCTGTTTTAATTAAACGACTGCAAACGCTAATGAACTTCAAAGAATTCTACTAACGTCGAGAATTTAAGGAAAAAAAAAAAAGAACGAACTATATATTCTTTGCGATTAACCAATTACAGTCTAACGACGCCATTATTGACAGGCGCCTGGCTGTGTTTAAACATGCTAATTTTAACGGGCGCAGATTACTTTAATTTAATTTTACGGCCTTTTTCATGAACCGCGACACCTGGTGCAAAGAAATTGAACCAATTTTAATGAGAAGGAAAACGGATAAATTAAGATTTTGCCTTTGGCTTTATTATTCATTTGCTTTTATTGCAGTTTTGATCTGGATGATGCCTTTTTCTTCTATTTTTCACAACGACGAATTCATTAATTTTTCTTCCAAGTCATCGTCACACACACTAAAACACCAGAAAGTAAATTAATTATTGCTTAAAAGTCATCCGTAGTATGGAGTGATAGGCCTATAGCCTATATATATTTTTTTAAAATTAGAAATAAACTATAAAATTACTATTTTATAATAGAAAAAATCATTTAAATAATAGGCCTATAATAAAAAATACAATAAACAATATTTCTTATTGTTTTTTACAAATACAGTTTTTAATATATTTAAAAATTTAACCGTTATAATCGCTACATCGATGAAGTTTCTTATCGTTTTTTTTTTCCATTGCTTCTATTATTAAAGATAAAAAAGTAATTTTAAAGGTTTAAATATACTGTATATATAATTCTTTAATAAAAATGATCTTTTAATTTTAAAATTTAACCATTAATAGGTAATTTGAGACCGGGCAATGAAATTAAATCTCCCAGAAACTAGCATTAGCATTCTGATGTAAATTTTAATTGAATGCATTCTATTTATATCCGACTCTACTACATTTTACAAAATGGCTAAGTTATATCTGATTAAATTTAGTTAATTTTTTACAAAGAAGCTTTATTACGGAACCGATTTTTCACTGGTAGTATTAAAAATATACAGTTGATATTTAAGTACCGAAAGCTCCTATTAATGAATTAATTTGTAGATATAGTTGATTTTCTGTCAGAATTTAAGTTATTTTCCAATCAGAAGAGATGATAGATATCTTGTGAGCTGCTATGGGGCAAGGCAATGAGCCCAAATTACGGCTGCATCGGCAATATGGTACTGATCCCAGAGGTACGATAGAATCGGAGAATATTGCTCATTGGGTAGCGTATCTTCGAAATGCCGAGATAACCAGATTAAAGCTAAAATTTTCGAATTTTTGATGAAGAAAATGATGGAAAACAATTAAATAGGAGTAAACCAAGTTACAGTAATTGTTTCCACAGTTACTTAGTATTATTATTATCTTATGAATGGGATCCGTTTCCGATTAGATAAGGCTTTACATTAACCTATTTTCTTCAGTATGATATATATATATATATTTTGTTTATTTTTATTTATTCTTGGCGTCCAAACACGAAAAGGCTGATCTATTTTCTAGACTCGGAAAGGAGAGTATATTTAATACTCTCGTCATCACCCTTTTTATTGTCGGAAGAGCGCGGTAAAGCCGCTCACTAGACGATTGAAATATTCTTTTGTGAAGGAAAGTGTTCGCTTCGCCAGCCGCAGTGTGTTGCTAAAAAAGAAGTTGCCATTATTGGCATCCCTAGCAGTAGCCCAAGCAAGGAAAGAAAGGAGGTTGTAAAAGAAACGGTAGACGAAGCAGTTTTACTACCGTCTTGAAAAGCCGATAAACCCGTCAGGACTTCCAACCAACTACTGTTAGGTACAGTTGGCTGTAAGGTAATCGCCCCGATGGTCTGAAGTGAAATCGGAAAATTGGAAGGTGACGATGGGCAGGCCGCAGGGGGCTAGAAACTTCATCCCCCAAAGGGGAGCCGCGTGCCGGGGGGGTTGTGTTTGAATAACGCCAGAAAGGCCCCTAGGGAAATCACGATATGTCCTCCCTGCGGGCGCTGCCGCATCTATAGGGATGTATTTCCACAACGTTTTTATCGCGTTAGCTAGAGAGGGGGGATGCCAAGATACATTGCGCATGTGTAGTTCTTGTCCACTTTTTAACACCGAATTGGCAAAGAGCTGTCCGAATTCGATTTAGACCTAACTATTTCCCGGGAGAGACAGTTCTAGATACAAGCCTTTCTCACTATTTCTTTTTTTTTTTTTTTTTCTTATTTCTCGATATCTGTTGTTCGCACTTTAAAAGGCAAAATGCCCGCAGGATTGAGTATAACAAAAAATGCTACTTTTCCTTTTCTCTCTTTTCTATCTCTCATAGGAATGTTTTGTTATCTTGTTTTTAAGGTAAAAAAAAAACTGTTAGTTTGATTTAATCATCTCGCTTTTGTACGGGATCGTAAATAAGTTTTATATAAAATGAAAAACGTTTCTGCCTAATTTTAAATTACTAAACTTTTTTCATTTTAAAATATTTTTGAAATTTAAATTTATATTAAAACAAGCATTGACACGTCGCAAATAAACTTTATGTCTGATTGGTAGAAATTTCAAAAAGAAAAAAATCCCTTACGAAAAAACCATCGTGCACTTAAAAATTCTAGGGAAAAAAAACATTATAGATTGACCTGAAACTGCCTCAACTAATTTTTTTCTTCTTCCAAACTTCTATCAATCTATTAAACTAAAAATAAGTTCGGAAATTTTTGATCTTTACCATAAATTTCACGTTCCTCCGAAGATAACAAATTACCACTTTCGTTGTCCGTTGAAGCAATTAGTTTAGTTTAAAGATCTTATAATTTTCGACAATTTATTAGTATTTTATAAGTAAAAAAGTAATATAGAAAACACTTAAGTAGTATAATTATTATTATTATTATTTTTTTTTTTAAATGTTGTAGCCCATCAACGACCATTTGCCATGGGTAAAAGTCGAAGACCAAGAACCGCTTTCACAAGCCAGCAACTTTTGGAATTGGAAAACCAATTTAGGTTAAACAGATATCTTTCTAGACCTAAAAGATTCGAAGTAGCAACAAATTTGATGTTAACCGAAACACAGGTAAGAATTTCCTTGTAAATTTTGCGTTTCGAAGCCGCAAAAAAAAACCAGAGCCTTCGAGATTGTTTGTATCCATTATTTAAAGCTGCTAAAACTAAATCTAAGTTTTGCCATTTCTTTTTAAAAACTTATTAATCCAGGTAAAAATTTGGTTCCAAAATAGAAGAATGAAATGGAAAAGAAGTAAAAAATCTCAACAGGAATCTAAAAGCAATAATGAAAAGTCGGATAAGAGAAATCTGGATCGAAATAAATTAGAACACGATTCTCCTTCGTCTAGTGATCAACTTCGAAATAACGGAGATTCCAATCAAAATGAAGGGGATGATAAAAAATATCAAGATGATGAAAATACTAGGAATTCTATTGAAAGAAATGACTCCTACAGATCTGTAGATTACGATGGTTCTTCGAGAGGAAGCACAGAAGAAATATGCAATGAGTATCATCAAAGACAGCTCGACGTAACAAATTTCATTAAATCCCGAGGAAATAGCACTTCTGCCATCGAACTACCAAGGCATCATTTAGGTGAGACCTCGCAACGATCGGATGGCAAAGATCAAATTGATTGGACACTTAGAAACCCTCGACCTTTTATGAATTTCAGGGAAGGGTCGTCATCCGTCATTCAGACGGATACAAAAGACGAATTAGAGGTAAATAAAGAGGTGCAGGAATTAGATGCGGCTACTTTGAAACGTCAAAGACCTTATAACCAAGAAAGACAAATCGATAATTTTCATCTTGCTAGGGTTGGTACGTCGGGAGTACATTATTTAAATTCTCAAATACTTGGCACCACGGAAACTGGCCACCATCAGATTTCGGACCTGTCGGGTAAATTTTTTTCCGGATCGTGGAGTCAGAGACCATTAATACACACTCAGTCGAATGTGGTCAGGTCATCCGAAGAGAGATGAATGGTTTTTCGCGTGTGCATAGTAGAGAACTGATTATAGTGTGATCAGGCGTGTTCGTGATTATTCTAGTTGAACATTCTTAGAAATTATAAAAAAAAAGTACTCATCATCATTTGGTTCATATTTGAAAACAAAATAAACAGCCAGAACTATTATAGAGAAATAGGATGAGTGATTCTGTATTTATTTCGTGATTATAATTTTGGACATGAGATTTCTGTATGCTAGCATGTTCATTAAATGTGTAATAAATCTTGGAAATTTTATTATTATTATTACTATTTTATCATAATTTGCCTTGTCCAATGAAGAGGATGGACAGGCCGAAATTTTATTATTAAATTTTACAGAGTGGCCGGAATCAAAATGACATATCGTGCATCATTGCGGTCAGGAGAATCCAGTAAGTTGGCACATTTACCATTTCTGTGCACCAAATCACTCTGTGGTGACATTGCTTCTTTTTATTGCGGAAATTAGCATCGTTCAGTGATATAAACTACAGCCAAGGAAGCCAACTTTAGGTATTACGCATTCGTCCAGTCAGGGTCAAGTTTACACTTTTAATTTTGCTTTTAATCAATGCGCCAGGGATTCTTTTACCAGGAGCAACCCCTTGAAGGGAAACATAGATAAAGAATTAATTTCTAGCATGCCGAAGGGAAATTTCGGTAAATTATTATCAATTAGCATAACGATATTTAGCTTAATCGATTTTATGTATATATAAGTTTCATTCTCTCCCCTAAAATTAAGGCCGTTGAGGGAAAAACTAGCCCTATCGTCGCAGAGGCCATAAAGATAAAATTAATTTATAAAACGGTCATTTGACGCAAATACGTCGTTTAACAAACCCGGGTCATATGTCAAAGCTGCGATGCGGGGGAGCTAGAGAATGACCAATATTATCCCCTCTCATCCAAAGAACGTGCAGCGACCACCTCTCCCCACGCATTCATTGGCTTCATTGAATTCTGCCGAGATAGCCACTTAGCCTTAATGAAGTACGTCTGAGCCTGCGGTGTAGGATTCAACGATCGATACGGCCGCTAACTGAGTTTACGATAATGCCAAGCGACTGGGGTTGCGCTGACTCGTTGCCCCCTGCACACGACTGGCAATTAGGAAATTACATTACCGATGTCGTAGTGAATTGGCTAAGGAAGGAGAGGGAATGGAAAGGCGGGGGCGTCAAAAAGTCGATCTACGCTCCCTCTCATTTGTAATCTGTCTGCGAGACTTACTGATTATCCGTCCTACATCGGCCAACGTCGCTTGTTACACCCCTGGCGTAAAATTTCACGCTCTTTCACACGCGCGCCGCGCCGTTATCCCCCTCTAACACGGCGCGGCGTAACAATAAATCAGTCAATGTTTCTAGAATTTGAAGTAGTACTAGTAGTAAAGTTTAAACATCAACAATCGATTTATTCGTCTTGTATCTCCGCTGCGTAAATCCAATAAAACTTTTTGGAATATTTTAAATTCTTACATTTTAAAATGCCGGCTCCATCTGCTTCTTCTCTTTCTATTTGTGGATTTCTAAATTAAACCCGACTCCGCATTGTGATTTAAATTTTTAATGATGGATGATAGCTTGCGTTTAGTTTAAATTTATCCCAACCCCTACCAATTTTTTAAATTATATCCAAAACTCTTAAACGATATAAAAGTTTTCCCACAAAAAAAAACATTTATATATATTCCTTTTTATGAGTTTTAAAACAGCCTTAACAAAGAGGTTAAAAACATCTCGTACAGGCTTTGGCAAAGCCCTAAAAATCCATCAGTGGGATGGATGGTTTGGGTTCTAATGCGGATTTACTGTATCTTCAATGGCTACTTTAACATCGCTCTATTAAAGTTATGTTAAAAGCTAATAATAAAAGAGATATTAAAAGCTTTCAATACCATTCACCGATGGCACTAAACAGAAAACTTTAAGGTTATTTTGGTCTGGCATTAAAATAGATTAAACGTATCAAAATCCTATTGAAGTGGTACTTTGTACCGGACTTCAAGAAATGAATTGATTACGCGGATTAATCTAAATAGGTCTCAATGAGAAGTGGCACGTAATATCGACGTAAATAGTCCCTAATTATTCAAAATATTCTCATATATTCTACATAAATTACCGACTGAAACTACCCATAGATGTTACCATGGATCTGAGGCATTTAATGTTTAATCTTTAAAAATATATATATACCCTCAATTCTATTGATTTAAGCAAAATAAAACAATAAATATTAATTTTCGTTACGTAAAGAGTTATAATGAATATTAAAAATGTGAAAATATTCTAAAAATTTCGTATTATTAAAGAATTTCGCCGGTTTATTATTCAAAAATGTTTATTACTCGTTATCGATTTTTAGTGGTTGAGGAGATGAAATTAATTTTTGACTGGCCAATAAGAATCACCGTTACTTCTTTCGTTAAATGTCCATAATGATTTTAATTAAAGTTAAATTAATGATACGGTGACTATATAAGTTATTTTTAAAAATTAATTTGTATTTGTTTTATTATTCAAAATATTTAAATATAAAAAAAAAGTTTTATTTTTTTTTCATGCGCCAGATGGAAGCAG